TACATACATATACATATAAAAATGGGATCTAATTTTATACAATAAAAATTTGATCTTAAGTTGCTGCAAATTTTTTGCTTTATCTGTATTCTTTATTAAGTGTTGGTGACTATTATTTAATTCTTTTTTTTTTATTTTTGGTATTTCAATAGATCTATAAATCCAATATAAATGAGAATAACTGTAAGAATAGCTATGAAAATGCTTAATATGCATCAATTTCACATGTCTTGGCTTTATCAAAAGTTTATATGATTATCTTAGTTTTGTTCTATAGTATCTATTTTTTCAGTATTGTTTAATTAAAAGTTTTTTTTTGAATCAATAGTTTGATGAATCCAATATGAATGAGAATAGATATAAAAATAGCTATGAAAATATTCAATATGTATCAATTTTGCATACTTTGGCTTTATCAGAAGTTCATATGATTATCTTAGTTTTGTTCTATAGTATCTATTTTTCAGTATTGTTTAATTCAAGATTTTTATTTTTTTTTGAATCAATAGTTTGATGAATCTAATATAAATATGATGGATATGAGAATAACTATGAAAATACTCAAAATACATCAATTTTGTTTGTTTTGGGTTTATCGAAGAATCATGTGGTTGTCTTAGTTTTGTTCTATCATATCTATTTTTTAGCATTGTCTAATCAAAGGTTCTTATTTTATTTTTTGAACCAATAGTTTTATAAATTCAATATGAATGAATATGACTATGAAAACATATAATATGCATCGATTTTATATATACTGGCTTTACAGATTTATATAGTTGCTTTGCTTCATTCTATTATATCTATTTATTCAGTGTTGTCTTATCTTTTTTTTTGATTTAATAGTCTTCTGAATCTAATAAACCTGATCAAGAAAATTCACCATATGCTTTGAGCGTTCATGTAATTTTCTAGTTTTGTTCTATAGACTGTTTATTTGAATATTATTTAATAAAAAGCTTAATTGTGCATCATAATAGTTTTGTGAATCTAATACAAATAAACTTGATCAAGAAAATATTCATACTTTGATTCAATATGATTCAGCTTTATCAGAGGTTTGTATAGTCATTTTAATTTTGTTTTTCATATTTCCATCTTTGTTAACTGTTGTTTAATCAAAAGTTTTTTTATATATCTTAATAGCTTTATAATAATATTTTAGATAATAATAAATCAGACGAATTAAGCAATACAATTAATTATTTAGAATTAACCTCTGGACTTACCTTTCATACTTGGAAAGAATTTAAAACTTGGATTCATAATTTTGTATTAAAAAAGGGTTTAATTACAAAATCAGATCAAGTAAAACAATTGAAGAAGTAATATAAAGAGCTATATACAAATACGTTAAATCCAGATCACACATTTTACAAGTTACATCTAACCTAACAAAATGTTGTAATACTTCTTCTCAAAGATTAAAATGCTCTTGAAAACTTAATATCATTTGCCTAAAAACAAGTGATATTGTAAAAAATTAATTCATATAAAAATGAACATAATTATCCACTTTGTAAGAATATAGAAGATATTCTACAATATATATGCTATATAATACAAGAATCGATATAGATGTTGATGTAATGCAAAAAAAATTAATGAATATGTGACATATGATCCGAAAGCCAAAGTTGCATTACAATAATGTAATAGAATAGTAAGGGCTGTGACAGATATTGCATAATATCTTTGGGGAAAGGGTTAGCCCAAGGTCTTATATTACATATAATCTATATATTAAATTCTCTGGAGTAATTTTCTGGAGATTATGCAATATCGATAACTATTGTATATTCATATAACCAATATGCAAATGGGATTTTTGCAGTAGATTTTTAAAGTTTATACTATACTTATCGTGCAAACTCTTATGATCATAGATTTTTTTCTTCTTGTTATTTTTTGTACGTTATTAGATAAGCACAACAATCCTGAATTAAAACTCAGTTAGTCAACTATGACTCGTAAATCATGATTATAATTACACAATAACATTGATCGATATTGGATCATAGAGCATAATATTAAGCATTGCATAACCAATATCTTATCATTATCATTTATAACTACGTAGTCGAATACTTAATTTAATAACTAGTAGAATACTTTTATTGAATAACAAGACATATACTTTTATTAAATAATGGATTGACTGTTTTAATAATTTTATTTTTTTTTTACTCCTGGTTTAACATGCTAATCTATTTAATAGTTTTTTATTTTTTTATTTTGGGTTTAAACACATTAATTAATAATATTATGCTAACAAAAAATTTGCAGCAACTTAAGATCAAATTTTTATTGTATAAAATTAGATCCCATTTTTATATGTATATGTATGTA